ATCTACTGTCTGGTTTATCATCTTCAAACTGGTAGAAAGACAGTATTGGTATATTAAAATGATAAATCACATCAGTGAAACAAAAGCCTAAAAACCAAAATCAATTTACGAGTCTGTCTAAATTGTTAATATGTCCCGTTGCAGACTGGGGTCACAGACTGTATCAACATGAAAAAATAAATATAGTTAATTCTGATTTTAGAAGAACAAAGTATGATTACTTCAATCTACATAAAAACTGATAATTTAATCTGCATAAAACTATAAACTCTGATATCCCCCCTGCTGGTGTTTTGATGGGTGTTCTTGGCTTTTGCCCAGGCCTTTGGAAAGTTCCCTTTGGATTGTGTGGGTCTGTTGTTTTTCATTTCTGTACGGCTTTGTCATCTTTGCTATCATTTACTCCTTTATCTTCATGGATTGTGGTAATTTTTATAAAACCCCTTTCAAAGATCCATAATGATACAAAACTGAAAGCCATTGTTGCAGTATTGGTGTTAATTTGTTCTCCCAATGCAGGCAGAGTACATGTGGATTAGCAAGAGAAGAGCTATCTAAAGGTTGAACTATTTTTTATAATATAGGAAGTTGAATTTTATATACCCAGACCTTTAACTGTAGTATTAATCTCTGTGTACTATATAGAATATTAGTAAAAGTCCAGAAAAAGTGTGTGTGTGTGTGTGCGCACGTATGTGTGCTCATGTGTGTGCACACACGCATGCACAGCAATTATGGAACCAGACATTTCATTAGCAATATATTAGGAGAAAAGTATGTCAAACAGTATGTTTCATGAACTCATAGCTAACAGTGAAGTCATAATGAAGAAATGAATATGATAGGTGATTTTCTTTCCTTGATGCCAAAACAATAACAGTCGGCTGCAGATGTAAAAAAAAGATTAATGCTTAAAAGTAAGATAATGTCAAAACACAATAAGGATCAAGGCATATCTATGACAACAAAAATCAGAATTGTTAAAACAACGATAATGTAACATACAGCAAAGAAAACTGAACACGGAGTGAGAAAAAGAGGGACATTTTTGAATTATGAATTGGAGACTTTTACTGAGGGTTCCACGAACTGCAATTGGTCCTGAATGAAATAAAGACTGGCAGCACCATTTGGGTGGTACCGTAATTAGCAAAAAACCTCACATACTCTAGCACATGATGTGAACAGATAATGATTAGAAACACTATTCTTGACAAGCCTGAGGAAAGTATTAAAGAAGTGAAAGACAACAGATAAACTGAATGGATGTCATCAAACAAATTTGAGGATTTGTAAAAACTAAATATTACTGTAAATAGAATGAAATGACACCTGTTGCCTTTGCCTTCTTCCAAGGCCTGAGAGTGGTTGGTCCAAGGTTATCCAGCTGGCTTCATGCCGAAGACCGGACTAGAACTCCCAGTGTTTAGTTTAGAGTCTTAAACACACCAAACTAGCTACTTATACTAGAATATTTTTTCACAAACTGACAGGGTTCCTTTACCTAGCTATCTGTACTGACTTTATTACTGCTGTTGTGTTTATTATTGCTTTTAAGGCTATGCAAAAATTTGAACAGTATTTCATGGAATGTATTAGAACAGTGGTTCTCAACCTGTGGGTCGGGACCCCATTTGGGGTCGAACGACCATTTCACGGGGGTCACCAAATAATGCAGTCCGCCATTTTTTTCCCCTTTTCCTTAGCTGTGCTACTCCCTTTTATTCTATTGGCTTTTGAAAGCCAATAGGAATTGTCCAGGCTGTCTCTGCCATGCTGAGCCCGCCAAAAGTCTCATTCTGCAAACGGCGCTGCACCAGTTGAGTAGTCCTCGACTTACGACCAGTTGAGTAGTCCTCGACTTACGACCGGTTGGGGGGTCACAGCATTAAAAAGGTTGAGAACCACTGTATTAGAATGTTTCGACAAGTCCCATTCGTCATCTTCAGGCTGGTGTTTTCAGCTTCGTGCTTCTACGAGCAATGTGTGATCGTAGCTGTTTCTTCCTTTTAACTGCCAGTGGGGATATGAACTGATTGAGTGAGAGCTTGGCTGTGTACTGATTGGGTGGAGGTGTGTTTTGATTGGTTTGGGGCTTGGCTGTGTTCTGATTGGATGGGGGGTTGGCTGTGCTCTGATTGGATGGGGAGTGTTCTGTTTGGGTGGGGGCTTTGTTGTGCTCAGGTTAGTCGGAGTTGCAGGGGGATTTGACATGGTGAACTGTGTTGCTGTTATTTGGCTTCGCGTTCGTGGTTGTGCCTCATCTTCATGGTGGGTGTCAGTTTGCTTCATGTATGGATTGGAGGGGCTTAAATGGCTAATGATACAGCTGTGGTCTGGCTTCTGGTTTGTGGTCATGCCTCATTATCGGTGTAGGTTTGGGTTTGCTTTTTGCGTGGATGTGTGGTGGTGACATCCTGTGTGGTTTTCGTGAGTGTGGGTCTGGTGTCATTCTTTGTGGCAGAATGAATAGATGCTACTATGAATTTATGATATTCAAATTGGAATTGATAGTTCATACTATTGGCACATCTACCACATAGTAATGTGATTTTTTTTCTTTTTAAAGACAGAGGTTTCACCAAATCTTCCTCTAAAAAAAAAGCCAGTCCTGTTCTGGTACTACGCCTGAAGAGGAAACTGAAGTCTTGTCAATAATACAAAGACACTCAAATTATCTAGCCAACTTCTCTGTATATTAGTTGTATGTGTGTATGTTAGTTTCACTTTTTTCTGTTCTCAGGTTTGTATTATGGAATAGGATTATCTGTTAGATCACAAGTAAAATTCACATATTTAGACAAACGTGTTAAACTGGATTTTGCAAAGACCAATTCTGAACATTATGTATACACAAGATATTGTGTTTAAAAAAGCATACTTGTTAAGTTTGCAATAAAGATGGTAAAAACAAGTTTAGCAGCAATCACTACCTAGTTCTCCAGCTAGGAGATCTTATCTATAATCCTTTGCCAGAATAGTAAACAGAGAACTCATCCATACTGTCTAAACTCATTTTCTTAAAAATACCTGAATTCAAACTGTTTCCAAACTGCCCAGATAAAAGATTTAACTTACTGGTTGTCAGCCAATCATTTTATAGAATAACAAGCACTTGCAACTAGAACTAGTATTTTCTTTCTATTAAATGACTTAAACACTGAACATTCTTTTACAATAAACACTTTTAAAATTTATATTCTTGTATTATGTCGCAACACGTCACATGACGTGGCAAGTTTGACACCCATGCATTAGAGAATATAGTAACCCAGAATGCAATTATAGAAACAAAGAAGTGGTAATATAATATTTAATATTATGTGGAAAAAGGGAGCTGACATTAAGAATAAACTTTTCAAATTGTAAGGTGTATTGTCCAATGCTGGGGATCATATTTATGTTCCCAAGGAACCAATGTCATAACATTTAAGTAACTGCATTCTGGGAAAAATGTGTCAGGTCACTAGATATACCAACAATTAGAATGGCCTGGGAAATATAGATTTGACCAGGAAAAAAAAGGGAGGAAACATAGGTGGCTTTATTCTCCATCATTTGTGTAAAAACAAACTAGATTTTAATTTGTTTCCTTAACGAAAAAAATGTTGAAAACTTTTTTCTATTTTAAAGAAATTTAGCTTTTTACTATTTTGTTAAAGGAAAGTTCTGGGTGATTACCTTATGAACTCCATTCCATTCTGTGGGTCTTTATGTAACTAAAGCTAAGATCATTATATTCTGTAGCATTTTCTAATTTAACCAATTTAACAATTCCTCTTCTCAAGAAAAAGTATTGCGGAATGAAAGTCCAGAGATTTTATCATCTGTTTTGAAAATTTAACACTAGACTATTTTTCCAAGTAAAAGTACCAGGGTAGCTATTTCTAGTTGATGCTGGGGGAAAATAGAGAACTTGACAAGACTTAAGTGACTTTTAGATATACAGAGTAAGAACAAAAAAAAATTGAAAATATTTGACTGTACTAAATATTGTTTGATTGACTAATCCAATGTGACAACACAGAAATACAAGAAACATCTCACCAAATGAAATATCTAACCAAGAGTTACAAAGATTCTGGTCCTGCACTTCGTGAAGGGGGTCATGAAGCTTGGAAAAACTGGTTTATAATGGTTAATTTATTGCCAATGCGTACATTAACACCTTTCAGATCTAATTAACTGAATGATTATCAATGTGAAATGCAAGTATTTTTACTGGAATAAATCCACTGAATTGTTTTCCACACTCCAGGGAAAAAAATACATGCACATATCAAAAATAAATCTCAGAAGTTAATTTCTGATATAGTTTTATATTTGATGAATACATTTCATTCTTAAGACTAGTCAAATTTTCTTGATTTAATTTATATTTCAGCAAAAAGAAAAAAATATTTTGGAAGTTTAGCGTTTAGTAGAACAATAAATTGAAAATTATATTACTACTCTCAAATTTTTAACCAATTACCATAATATATGTTACTGCTGGTTTTCCTATTGCAATTTTATGTTTGTTGTGTATATGGGTTAAAATATATGATAAAATTGCTTAAATATAAACTGCTTTAAATATTTATTTTAATGAAAATATAATATATATAAATTTATTTTATATCTATCTATCTATCTATTTATCTATCTATAAATCATATACGTAATCCATTGAATCCATTGGTTAGCTATTTCACCATTTCCCTGGTGAAAAAGTACCACTTCAATTGTTTCCATAGAGATTTCAACATGGAAGAAAATACAGGATATAAGAGATAATGGAACATGTTTTTAGAAGATTAAATAACAGCTACTGAAGTCTTTATTCTGGCAAATGTTAGCTTATCTATCTATCTATCTATCTATCTATCTAAACATTCAAATACATTTAAAGCTACATTCAAATACATTTAAAGCAACTGCATTGGCTTGGCAGTTTTAAAGCAGAAGCTGACCTCCTTTCAAAATAGTCACACAAAAATCTGGACACATATGAACCTTACCTAGATAGAGTGATGAGTTTTCTTTCTTGACATTATCATCCAAGTAGGTTGGTCCTAGAGTGTAGATAGGTGTGGAGCCCATTCCAATGAGTATTTGGGCACAAATAAACAAAGCTACATAGAGTGAGTGGCCATTTCCATGTGAATTCTTCATACAGCCTGAGAATTCCAGGTGCCCTTTCACTGAATTATTTCCAGTCAAACACAAGCCATCATTAGAAACAGAGGAGTTTAATTCCTGGATTTGATATGGTGCAGAGATGAAATGAGGTAAAGAAAATACGGCAGCCCCAAGGGCAATAAATAACCCCCCAATAGCAAGCCACAGAGGTCTTCGCCCTTGTCCACCAAAATAACTGATGAAGACTACCACCAAAAGGCTGCCAATATCGAAACAGCTGACCAATAGCCCAGATTCAGAGCTTTTCAAGCTATATCTTCTCTCAATGGTAGTGATAACACTACTCAAGTAACCAGAGACCATTAGTGATTGAATGAAAGTCAGGAAACACATACATATCAAAAAGAATCGAGAATCTGTCAATACTATAGCAAGATATTTTCTACCAGGGATTATTAGCAGTGTGGAAGCTGTTGACATGCCATTACTTAATCTAGTAGAGTTGTTGCTTTCACTTCTTTCAGTGAAATTCCTCATTCTTGAAAAGCTGGAAGCTGTAAAAGACAATACTGTCTTGGAAGAAGTAGCAGTAGCATTACTGTGATGTGCTGATATATCGGGGTCAAGGCCACACCTCTGATCAGAGTCCCCCTGCAAACTCTGTAAGAAGTTCTTTTTGGCTGCAATGAGAGCACTTTGTGTGGTATTAATCTGTGGAACAGACCCATTCAGAACTGGCAAGCTTTTGGACCGAGAATTCTCATCTTGTTTTTCTGGTTGCTCCTCTCCGAGAGAGTTTGGATGCTGGTGCTTTATTATTCCTGATAAAAGCATGCTGAGAGCAAGCTTGGTCTGGGCTGAATTACTAATTCCCTATTATATGCATGACCTTGTTCAAATGTATGCTTTTTTCAGCCCAAGAACAATCATCCTCTATGGCTTTCCAGATCTCTCCAAGCCACTCTGGAAAAAAGAGACCCTACAATTCAACACGTTACATGAACACATGAGAGCACATGTCCAGCAGATTTTATTGTAGTACCATACTTCTTAGCACTGCTCTCCTCTGCCAGCAGCTGACCTTTAAACAAAGTGAATTGGACCACTCCCCCTCAGCAGATTCATTCCCACATGGCTCCTAATGATGCCCTGCCATTCTAGATGAGGGTCCTTGACTGCCTGCATCATTGGCAATAAGACTGTAGATTCTGAAGATGTATTCTTTCTGTTTCTGTGTTAAAGTCTTCAGATGACATGTCTATCAATACAGAGGGAGGGGGAGAGAAATCATGCACAGAAGGTCAGCATGCTGCTTTTGTCTTCTCACAGTAGTAGTTCCCAGCTGCTGCTCCCTGAGGCTAGAAAAGAACAGACTATAATCAGGCTCTCACCTCAGAATAGAAACACAGAATAGCTGGAATCCCTGATCTCCATTAAAATCCCTCTCCTAATTGTTTAAGTCCAATTTAAATCTGGATCAATCTTAATATTCTGAAAAGCATGTCATTTATATACATGCATGTATAATCTGTCCTGCCCCATAAAAGTAGAGAGACATTTGAGAACAACACTAAATAAAGTTTTCTTTTTCATTTTTCCCAATTTTTTACAACATCTAATGCATACACAAACATCAAGCAATAAGTACCTTTTATTTATTTCTACTTCCAAAGCAAAACTTGATATATTAATTGCTTTATTTTAACAGTTAAAATTAAAAGACAGAATATTCAATTATAAATATTAGTACAACAGATTCTCTAAACACAAGTCACAATTTGTTCCTGATACAAAAGACAGGGAAACTCCCCAAAAAAGGGAAAAAAATAATACTGAAAACAAAGGCGCCTCTGATAACATTATTGAACTGCATGAAAAACAAATAAATACAATTTTAAGCATGTATTTTAAATGCTTAGAGTACATTTACCTGCAAATTAATGGGATACAGAACAGAAGAAATTGCCTAAGACAAGAAAATGAGCATTTGTATCCTCTCCTCAAAAAGAGGACTACCAGATCTGAATTGCAAAAAGCCAGGAGACAGCATCAAATTTTCCGATTTGTTTTTTGGTTTTGGTAAGCCCAGATTCAACTAGCGCCATTCCAGCCTTGGTGTGCATCTGCTGAGCTATGGGGAAAGACATTGTCTAGCACTGGAATTAAAAAAAAAAACCATCTTGGGAAACCCGGTGAAAGCAAAGAAAAGCACAGCTACCACCTGCATTCAGCAACCAGAATAATAACGCTCCCCAAACAGAAGCGCCTCTGCCATAAGGAGAACTGCTTATACACCCAAAGCTCCCACACATCTTATCCTCTGGGTGCTTAGACTTCCCGACCAATCCCAAGCCCGCTTACTCTGAAGTAAGTCGCACGGACTTCATTGGCAGTGAAGTGAACCTGCGGCCATAACCTTAAAGTACCCCTTAGATGACCTTTATTCCATAAACCTCCGCCATCCTCCTCATCAGCTCCATTATTTCCTCTGCCTGGACTGTAGCCTCTTTAAAATAAAGGCTCGCGCGGGGACGCGGGGGAGGGAGGGACCGTTCATGTAACGACCGGCAGGCAGAAATTGCCTCAGTTGTCCCTTTGTTCTCCTGCCTAGTCGATTGGATTCGACTAGGCAGCCTGAAGTCCAAAACTTTAAGCTTTTCTGAGGAAGGCAGGGCTGAGGAAGGCAGACCCACAAAGGGACGGCGGATCGGGAGAAGACAGGAAAAGCGAAGGTATAACAATAAAAATAAGAGCAATAAAAAAGGATCATCATAATACAAAGTATGCCAGCCAGCGGCAGCCTTCGGTGCTGCTGAGGAATTACGAATTACTCACTCAGCTCGCTTGAACGTCTCGCAGAGAAGCGGGGCGGGAGGCGAGCGACGGAAAAGCAGCTGCACCGCCGGCTCCGACTGGGTGGTTCCCAGATGCAGATAACGATCTTGACGTCCCCTCCCACCCCTTACACTCGAGCCCGCCGCCCGCCCGCCCGGCCTGATCCTCACTGAATGTGAAGCTTCCCCCAGCCCAAAAGCGAGGCCGAGCGGACGGCGCAGGCGCACTTCACCCTTGGCTCTCAAAAGCAGACCGAATCTCTGAGCGGCTGCCGCGGTCCACCTGCTCTTGTCTATGTTAGGACGCTCGAGAGCTCCAGTGGAGACGGTTGCAGAGCCCCGTTCGCCTGGCGGAAGGCGAAATAATCCCGAGCTAAGCCGTCGCGCGCATGGACTCGTGTCTCTCCCTCCTCGTGGCTCCGGTTCTTACCGTGGCCGTGACCTCTCCTTGACACTTGAATTTCCCAAGACACCGTTAGGGAACAACCTGCGCCTTTCCGGGGGGTCATGTTCCCAGGATGCGGGGGATAGCATTTCAAGTCCAGTACATCTGAAGGGACCAGGTTACTCTGGACTCAAAGCCACTGGTGTTTTTTTAAAAAAAATATTTTTAATAAAACAAGCATTAATCTTAAAGACAAAAATTGAAAAAATTAAAAGTGCAAACTATAAAGATAAAAAAGGATATTTTATACTTAAAAATAGTCCCTGGTTTAACAACAAATTCACTATTATAATATAAACAATATGTTATTACAAGGTATTGCAGAAACTCTGCCATAGTTACAAATATTGCTGCTCTTTTGATTAATAGAGACTACAAGTAATCCTTGATTTACAATCACAACTGAGCCCAAAATTTCTGTTGCTAGGTGAGACATTTGTTAAGTGAATTTTATAACTTTTCTTGTCACAGGTGTTAAGTGAATCAATTACCGGTAGTAAAACAATTTTTAAGTGAATCTGGCTCCCTCATTGACTTTGCTTGTCAAAAAGCCACAAAAGTGGATAACATGACCCCAGGAGACTGTCATAAATATGAACCAATTACCAAGCATCTGAATTTTGATCATGTGACCATGGGGATGTTGCAGCAGTCATAAGTGTGGAAAAGGTCATGTCACTTTTTAGTGCCGTTGTAACTTTGAATGGTCACTAAATCAATGTTTCTCAACCTTGACAATTTTAAGGCATGTGGACTTCAACTCCCAGAAGTCCACAGCCAGCAATGCTGGGAGTTGAAGTCCACATGCCTTAAAATTGTCAAGGTTGAGAACACTGCACTAAATGAACTGTTGTAAGTTGAGGTCTACCTTCAAAACAGATAAAGCACACATTTCCCACAGCCATTTTTTGACATCTGGAATAATATCACTTTTCCAATTTCTTAATCTTTTTGCATTCCTCTATGCTAATTTCTAATAACAGGAACATTTCAGAGATTTGGTATATACTTCCCTATTAAATTAGCATCTTTAACATTTAAATACGTCCCCATCAATCTATTAATATGCATTAATACATTATCTGAAAAAAGGTGCTAAATAATCACATGCCCATATCATACAGGTCAATAAGACATCAATTTTTTTTATACCTCCAACATAGGAAGTCTGGTGTCCAGTCTTTTGAATACATTTTTAGGGAATCCAATCCATCCTAAATACAATTTTTTGAAGAATCAATCTCAAATCTATAGATACAATTTTAAAAGACATAAAGCCATGGATGTGGCTTTTTTGGAAATTCCAGTTATTTCGTCCATGTTTGAAATATCCCAGAAATGGCCACTCTAAAATATTCTTGCATTTTTTATAAGGTCTGTTGCAGGTTTTATTTGTCATGGATTCCATCAAATAAGAAAACAGCTTAGGTGCCTCTGAGGAAACAAAAGCATCTGATCCATATTTATCCATTAGAAAATGCTTAAGCTGAAGATACCTCCACTGTTATGAATTGGGAAAACTAAATTCAATTTGAAATCAGAAAAAAATCCTTAAAATAGTCAGTACATAGTAATTTAAAGTCTTAATTCCAGTTTCTGCCCAAACTTTCAATAAAAATATTTATAGCTAATCCTATGTGAATGAAGATAATTGGGAACATAATTTCCATCACTAAAGAACATGATTGTAAAGCTCAATGTCACATGATTGTGTCACTTAGCGACTGTAGTACCAGCACTTCCTGTTGTCCTTTTAAGTAAATCACCATGGACATCATATCACCATTTGCAACCTCCTGCTGGCTTTCCCACTGACTTTGTTTGTAAGAAGCTGCTGAAGAAAGTCACAAATTGCAGTCATGTGACTGTGGAATGCTGCAAGGACTGGACCTTTGAGGATTGGATATAAGTATCACTCCATCATATGTCTAGACAATTCCTGAAGGAGCAGTTCTTGAGTGAAGATCACTGAATCACCTGTTTTCAGAGTACAATTTTTTCAAAGAGTTAGATACTACTCAAGGACAGAAGCAACCTGGAATTAAGGAGAAAATTCCTAAAAAGACAATTAACAACTTGCCTTCAGAAGTTGCTTCATCACTGGAGGTTTTTAAGAAAAGACTGGACAGCCACCTGTCTGAAATGGTATCGGGTCTCCTGCTTGAGCAGGGGGTTGGACTAGAAGATCTCCAAAGTACCTTCCAGCTCTATTCTGATGGATTGAGTCTCATTATCAAAACTCAAATTTACAATATGGGCCAATATGGGCCAAGGATTTCTCATTGCTCATACCCCTGGAAATAAAACACCTTTTCTGCCAGATGCCGTTCAATTATATTTTTGTTCCACCAACAGATGATTGATAAAATATTGGCACAATAGCATTTTTTGCAAATCAAGCTACTTCTTCAAATGGTAATCTCAATTTAGCTCAGGAAAACGTGGGTGGTCCACTATGCCAAATAAATTTTCTAAGCAACTTGTTTATTTGATATTAACATAAGAATATCTCTCTGAACATAAACAAGAGATAATGTTCATTTTATTTGCTTTAGTAATTTTAACTTTGCCCAAGAAGCGTAAAGGAATTTTTAGCCATCTAATAATATCCAAAGCCATCTAATAATATCCAGCTCAAAAAGTTTCATCATATTTATTTCCACATATTTAGAAATACTTTTTGGCTATACTGTATAAAGCCCAAATCATCAACATCATCATTTTAGCCATTGTCTGTTCACTGCAGGATGAAGGCCATTTCCGCATGTTTCTAACCTATATGGTCCTGAGCTTCTTTTGCCAATTAGGCCCACAATACTTGCTGATATTGTCGATCCATCTTGTTTTAAGTCTCTTCCATGGACGCTTTTTATCAAGTGGGAAGCCCAAATATTTCTCATAGAACGCCCAGAACGGAGTTCCGGCACCTTTTTTGAATGGAACCTTGTAGGGTAGGCAAGGTGGGTTGTATGATGTGTGTGAATTCCGGCACCTTTTTTTTTTTTTAGAAAAAAAGCACTGGTATAATCAGTAGAAATCACGAGGAAATAAACAAAATCTTAATTTATCTTATAACCAAAATACTTTCCAAAATACTGCACAACCTTTATAAACTTAGAAAAAGAAAGAGTCCAAAATTGCCTAAATATCATCAGCATATAGAAATAATTTATATTTACATCTTGCTAATGTACTACCCTTAGTATTTAAAGATTGACTTAACAGGGTGACTAAAGCTTGAAGAATCAAATAAAATAGCAAGGAAGAGAGTAGGCAAGTTTGCAGTATTGCAACTGGAATGAATCTGAAATCATCTGATTTTTTTTATAATTCTATATAAGGTTGCAGATAATAAATCTCAATCACTGAAAAACAATATCTAATCATCACTCTCTTTAAAAATTTAATCCCAACTTTCAAATAAATCTCAATCCACTAGATAAAACTCCTGTGAAAAATAATATATAATTATTGCTAGCTTTAAAATTTTAATGTGAACCAAATAAAAGTATTTTTTCTGCATCTAAAAAACTAAAACAGGTAATCTCTGACCTACGACCATAATGTCCATAACAGTCACAAATGGTGACAACCACTCAGTGAGATAACATTGTCTGATGACTCCTGCTGTCCCTGATGCCACTGTTAAACAAACAGTAGATCATTAAGTGAGCATGGAGTACCTTGTGGGTGGAGGAGGCTCTGGGCGATCTACCACCCAGCTGTATCCATAAAGGAGTCAAGACAATCAGCAAAAAGGTTGGCAGAGCCAAAAACAGGCCAGCAGAGGGAACAGCCCAATTAGATTAGGACCTAGTGTCTAATTACAATGCCAGAGCTTGGCCGATGAAGCCACACTTATGGGCTGGGCCTTTGCCCCACTCAGCTAGTATGGAAGACTGGAAACCTCTCCTGGCTCTTATTGGTGTTTGGGGAAGTCAGCTGTAGCTTAGGAAGGAGCTTCCAAAATCCTTTCCCATCCTTTCAAA